AAAGCAATTGCGTCGATCGACGCAATATCGCAGAGTCTAGAATCGAGCCTATCCTCTCAGGGCTCGACTCCAAACGCGATCCATCGATCTTTTGCACGAAATCCTCCAAACAAAACACGGAATCCAACAAACAACAGCAATCAAACGCATCCTATCAATTCATTTACCGAGATAACCCATAGTCACGCACTCACTTTGGATATGGAAGGAAAAGGGAAGAAAACTACGAACAACGCGAAGAACTTGAAGAACACGGATCTCCAATCCGAAATCTTCTCCCAAATCGCGATCACCAAGCACCCGAACCCGACTCCAAAGCCTCACAATCACAACCACGAGCTTTTAGGATCAAGAACAAGAAGAAATCAACAATAATTCTTCGTTTCTCTCAAATCCTCTCACAAAACTCTTTGGAAACTTTCTCCGACCAAAAACGCGGCCAACACTATATATATGGGAACGCTAGGATTCCCATTTCACCGGCTCGTAAACCGTACAATTGAAACCGACGGTTTAATTTAACCTTGCGTCGATCGATGCACACCACTTGCGTCGATCGACGCACGAACATTTTTTCCAAAATTTGGTTTGGGGTCGTTACAATAACTATCTTCATTTGGTTTGTACTTTTTTTTTTGCCATTGAAGTTGTATGCTGATCAGCTCTTGTATTAACTTTTCGTTTTGGTAATAGTATTCGCATTTTATCAAAAAAGAAAAAAAAACATCTAGCTTCATGGTGCTCGAAGAAGTAAAGAACAGTGGCACGTTCATCGATAGAGATATAGAGTACAAATCTGTTTTCTAGTTCGTTGAATGTTGAATATTAGGAGATAAGATGGTTATTGTGGTAGAACATGACGTTCTGGAGCGGTTGCAACTCTACAAGCATCCTGCAATACAAGCTGATCTAAATCCTTCTAGATGTGCAGAAGTTTGCCGTGGTCCTTCAAATAGTTACATTAGGCCAATCAATAGTAATGATGGCATGTTACGTAGCCTGATGATGCTCGGTAGCCCCTTACAAGCCGACCCTTTCTCGCTCTTTGATGAACCGGGATGGTTTAAGACGTTATAACATAAATGGAGTTTCAGAGGTAGTTACCGTCTCCAACAGATGAATATGATCTGAATATCCTCTATATATTCAAGGAGAAGCAATGGGAGGTCATTTTTGCTGATGTGTCAACGCAAGATTTTTTTACAGCTTTTTTAATTAATTAAAATCCTCTAATAATTATTCCTACTATCTTTCTAGCCAAACATTCCTACTATTATCTTTT